GGCAACTTGAAGATGTCCGGACTTCAACTCCCAGAATTCTGGGAGTTGAAGTCCGGACATCTTCAAGTTGCCAAGGTTGAGAAACACTGATCTAGAAAGATGAACAGGTTAAGCTGAATAAATCGGTGATGCTGGAAGCTTTTCTCTGTTTAGGCTCTATTGGGGGGGAGGTTGGACAGCCTGGGGGCCCAGGAAAGAAGGGCGGAAGGGGCCCCCACCCAGAGGCAGCCTGGCTGGGTCCCTCTGCCCAGGAGGAGAGAAGGACAAAGGGAACCAGGCTGGGAAGAGAAAGGGCTGTCTGGGGTGCCAGGACCCAAAAGGAAGGGGTCACCCCAAAGAAAGGGAAGCCTGAATCCAAAGGGAGGGGGAGGACGTGGGGTTTCAATTTAAGGGGGTCAGCATCCAGCTGACTTCACAAAAATCCCCCTCCACAAGAGGAAGGGAAACTGGCCTGGGGTCCGAAATGGGGACGGGGCTGAGAGAGGGTGGCCAAATTGGAAGACCCTCCCCTCCAGTCTCTCCCTCCCTCCCTCCCTCCCTCCCTCCCTCCCTCTCTCTCTCTCTCTCCTATTTCTTTGTTGATTTTAATGCTTTACTGTTTTCATCTCTTTTGCAGTATCTTATCAGATTGTAAGTGGCCAGAGGAGTGCAAAATAAATTTAATAAATAAATAGATATTCAGAGATGGGCGCCGGATTTGAACCCCCCCCCCAGCCCCCCAACCATTCCCTGCTGGACCTCCCCCACCCCACCCCACCCCGCGCCCTACCTCGTAGGTACTGGTGAGCCCCAGGCGGTAGAAGACGGGCAGGAAGAGGTAGGCGGTGAGCAGGGAGTTGAGCATCTGCCCCAGGCACATCCAGAGGAACTTCATGCCGTAGCGGTAGGCCTCGGCCGGGACGCCCAGCACCTGGATGGCCGACATGAAGCTGGCCGAGAGGGAGAGGCCCACCGGCAGGGCCGACATGGCCCGGCTGCCCGTGAAGAAGTCCTCGGGGGTCTTCTGGCCGCCCCTGGACAGTGCGTGGAAGAGCCCGATGCCCGTGGAGACCAGCAGCATCAGGCCGAAGACGCCGTAGTCCCAGAGGCTGAAGGTCCGCAGCTCCTTCTGGAAGGCGGCCAGCTCACCTGCGGCGGGGGCCTCCATCCCGCTCCCCTCCTCTTCCTCTCCCTGCGGGCGGGCGGTGGGCAGCGGCGGGCCAGAGAAGGCAGCCTCGCCTGGAGGGAGAAAGCGGGATAAAGTGTGGGAGGGGGGGTGCCAGAATCCAGCCCAGCTCTGAGCAGCCCCCGGGAGGAAGACGGTCCTTCTCCTCCTCCCTCCGTTAAGGCAGAGGGAGAAACGGGGCAGAGGGTTTTTGACGGGAGTTTTCCCTTCCGAATGGGCAAACTTGTGAAAGGAGCTGAGTTTTGGGCAGGGAGGAGAGGAGGAGGAGGAGGAGGAGGAAGCCTCCACAGGGGGGAGAAATCTCAGAATTGGGGCCGGACAAGAAAGGCCGACGGAGGAGTCAGCAGAAGGAAGTGGACATTCAGAGGGAAGGAGGGAGAATAGAGACCGTCCTGGAGATGAGACCAATAGGTGAAAGATAGATGAGACACAGACAGACCAACCCACGTAGTTAATAGAGACCAGACAGACGGACAGATCGTAGGTAGTTAATAAAGACGAGAGACGGTCGGGTGGACAAACAGCCAGGAGAATAAAGATCGTGGAAGCAACCGGCGGAGGATCCCAGCAGCTGCCCCGTTGATCTGCGCAGCGGATTTCCATCGAATCCGTTGAAGACAAGATCTCCAGGAGGATCACCTGAAGCGGAGGAGGCGAGAAGGCAGCCGGAGGACGGGCAGAGCGCGCCGGGGAAGCGAGCAGGAGGCGGTGGACGCTTCCCTTCCCGACTCCGGAGCCTCCCGAGGGCGGAAGGCGAGCGCTGCGTCCGGAGCCGCGCGGCTTCCCAAGCGGAGGAGAGCGGGGCGCCGGATCGGAGGCTGNCTGACTTTTAGCCTCACCTGTGGTCGGCTGTGAGTGACACCTCTGTACACTTGGCTGCGAAATCTCTTCCTCTGAATGGAAGCCGCCTTTGGTGTGGCTTTGGCTTCACCCATATTTGCCCCTTTGGGACCAGAGCGATTTCTTCAGAAACCCCGGGGTGGGGCCGGGGGGGGGGGGCGTTGGGACCTTTCCAGGAAAGTGTGGGAGGAGGAGGAGGCCTTGCCCAGTGAGGCCATTCGTCATTGTGGTTAACCTCAAAGTGGCACCTTTTCTGCAGGGATCAGCACAAGCCCACAAACACCTGCGAAGAACAGCTGCCTCCCCCCCACCCCCGTTTCTCCTGCCCCTCAGCTCCTCCTCCCCCAAGCCCAGGAGGTCCCCTGGCTTTAGGCTGCAGGAGAGATGGGAACCAGGGGGGACCCCATTGCCTTCCCACGGGGGGGGGGGCATCCAATCCTTTGCAGCTAACTCTGCACAGCTGGCACCGTGCACAGCTCCTGGTAGGGGGAGAAAAACCCCTGTATTTATGGGGGGGTGTTTGGGGTTTTTGTTCTGCTCCAGTCCCAACTCATAGAGCTTCTGTTACTCTGGACAGTTCCTCTCGGAGCCCCCTGGCTGAAGATGGCACAACCCCCCCTCCACTCTGGGGCAGATTCCCCCTCCACTGCCCAGAGACCCCCTCCCTGGTCCCAGAGCTTTTCTGCCGGGGTCTCTGACTGGCCAAGGCCCTCCTGGAGGGACAAAAGGGTTGGCTGGATGGATTTCCTGCCTTGTTGTTGTTATTTTTTAAACTGGCCGACAAACAATACAAAAAAGGGAAAACATCCACAGTTGTGATTGGCAATAAACAATAACATCACACCCACAACCCGGAGGAGAGCAGCAAAACCAACAAGCAGGAACAACAACTTAAGAAAGGAGAGAAGGATGAAGCCAGGAGAAACAATCCAGCATTTTCCTGAACCCCAGCAGGGAGGGAGGAGGGGGCTGCCTGGCCCGGGCAGGGGGGGGCATTCCAGCGCATTGATGCTTCCCCCCACAACCCCATCCCAAGAAGCAGCGCCTCCTAGCCCACCATCCTCCCCTTCTGCAGGAAATCTGGGTGGTTGACCTCTATGGAGCCCAGGGGCCCGGCCCAGTTCCTGGCAATGCCATCCTTGGGTTGCTCTGCTGACAAACCAGCCCCAGAAGGTGATTATCTTGCAATGGGAAGAAGCCCCCCTGGGTGAGCCAAGGCCAAAAGACCTTCCCCCTTCCACAAAAGCTTCCCCAAGCCTCCCTCATCCCGGCCCTGTATGGAGACCCAGCGGGGGGGGGGGCAACCCAGCATTCTCTGCAGCCCCCTTTTTCTGGGCTCAGATGCCAGCCGGCCTGGGTGGAAGTCAGAGCTTTAGTCAGAGGATTTTCTGGCTCTGAGGCTTTGGTAAGAGGGTGTGTGTGTGTGTATTAATTGGCACCTTGTCATCTTTGCTGTGAGCTCTCTAGAGCAGTGTTTCTCAACCTTGGCAACTTGAAGATGTCCGGACTTCAACTCCCAGAATTCTGGGAGTTGAAGTCCGGACATCTTCAAGTTGCCNAGATCCCAGGAGGGGAACCGGTGGACCACTGGAGGCCGGAGGTTGGCCGCCCCCTTGAGGAATCTTTTGATGACTGGGACCTGGGAGAGGGACTGGGAGCCCTCCCCCCAGAGGATGGTGGCTAGAGCCGATACCTGCCTGTGTAGGGTGTTGTGAGCCAAACCTTTATCCAGGCCATCCTGGAGGAAGTCCAGTACCTGAGGGATGGAGGCTGATGAAGGCTCTACCTGTTTGGTTTGGCACCAGGTGGTGAAGGCAGTCCACGTTGCATCATAAATGAGGGTGGTGGATCTCCTCCTGGAAGCCTCAAGTGTGTTGATAACTCTAGAGGAGATCTGAGCTACCCTCAATTGCTCCCGCTCAAGCGGCAAGCGGTCAGATTGAGCCACTCCGGGTCTGGGTGGATCAGACTCCCCTGGCAGCGTAGGGAATCGGTGTCTACCGCCCCCCAGGTTGGGAACCGGGATATGAAGTTCGGAACCTGAGTGTTCAATGGAGAGGCGAAGAGGTCCACCGTCGGATGACCGAACCTCTGGCTGATCTGTGCGAAGATGCTGGGATGAAGTTGCCACTCTCTGTGGTCCACTGTCTCCCTGCTGAGCCACTCTGCCTGTTGGTTCTCCACTCCGGAGATGTGCTCTGCTCGAATCGACAGGAGGTTCCGCTCCGCGCAGCACCTCAGGCACTTAGCTTCATTGCGAAGAGCCACGGAGTGAGTGCCTCCCTGTTTGTTTAGGTGAGCCTTTGCCGCCACGTTGTCTGTCAGGACCAAGATGTGATTCCCGGTGACCGTCTGTTTGAACCGGTGAAGGGCTAGGTGGATTGCCCTGAGCTCCAGCCAGTTGATGTTCTTCCACAGGTCCATCAGCATCCATCAGCCCTGGGCCAACTGGGACTGCAGTTGGGCCCCCCAGCCAAACAGGCTCGCATCTATGGTGAGGACCAGCCTGTCCGGTTCCCTGAAAAGAGACCCCTTCTCCAGGGAGGGGGACCTCCACCAGCGGAGGGAGAGCAGTACCTGAGGGGTCACTAGGACCTTGAAGATTGTGTCGGTTGTCCCGTTCCTCTGATGGGGAAGGAGGAACCACTGCAGGTCTCTGGCGTGAAGGCGAGCCCAGGGGACGATCCCGATGCAGGAAATGAGCTTCCCGAGGAGCCTGGAGAGAAGAGCTACAGGGACAGATCGAAGCCTGCGAATCTCCTGAACCAGTTCCATGATGCTGTCCCTGCGCTCCTGGGATAAGAAAACCCTACCCTCCACTGAATCGATAATGGTTCCCAGATGTTGGAGCCTGGTGGAGGGAGTCAGGTGGCTCTTCTCGAAGTTAATCGAGAACCCCAGGGAGGACAAAGTACTGATGGTGATACTGAGATCCCTCTCTGCGCGGGGAGCTGAGGGGGCTAGGACGAGGATGTCATCTAAATAACAGTGGAGGCGGACCGGGAAGGAGCGAAGGTGCGGCCATTACCTTGGTGAAGGTCCTGGGGGCAGAGGCCAGACTGAAGGGAAGGGCCCTATACTGGTAATGGTCTCCCCGGTATGAGAACCTGAGGAACCTGCAATGGTCAGGGGCGATCATAATGTGAAGGTAGGCCGCCGTGAGGTTGATGGAGGATAGGAAATCCCCCTGCCCGACCCCTTCTAAGAGGGACTTGAGGGAAGCCATCTTGAACTTCTGGTAGACTATTCTGGAGTTTGAGATCTAGGATGGCCCTCTACCCCCCTGAACTCTTGGGGACTAGGAAAAGGTGCGAATAGAACCCTGATCCCT